TTAAGTTACCATTCAAACCCCCAAACATCAAATTAATCTGTAATATACCTAAACTATAGTACTAATAAACCTATTTCAATATCACCTAATCAAGTTCAAATATTTTTTCTATAGGAGTTCTAACTAAAGAAACCAGAAATATACCTTTCCTTTTGGTCTATTTTGTTTTGCTTTTTAAGCCACAAGGGGACACTCGGGCTCACACGGGCTTTAACAGGGAGACTCTAATACGGGTGTGCAAGAAGAGAAAGAGGAACTAGTTTCCTGCAGGTCATCTGTAAGTGACTAACTCTATATCACAGGAGATAAGCCACTTCTCCAAACCAATCGCTACTGAGGAGTTCAGATCTGGGGAAGACAGAGAATAGACTCACCACCAGGGGCTGAAATAAGATCTAGAGTTACATTCTTGTATCTTTAGAGCTCAAAAGTAGAATCCGCGCAGGAGCTGCACCCAGGTGAGGGTACTGCATTCAGAAGAGGTGGAGTGACTTGCATTAGCCTCACCATCTTTACCCTGAGGCTGACGATCCAGAAAAGAGGGTGACCTGTTTTATTTATACCCTATTCTCTAGAGATGAAGGAAGGATAGAACACAGAGATTTCACTGACTGCAGGAGAAATTCGGGTTCACAAAAATGAAAACTTTCGACTATAATCACTGACAAAGACTGAGTGAAGTTATAAAATCTCATTGCCTACTGAATGTCTACAATAAAATAAGCAACCATCAATTTGAACGGTTTAGATAAATTTCTGCCGAGAACCAAGAGGATAGAAAATACAACCGATATTCTGAAATAATAAAATTCTATGATTTTGCCAAAGTTAAGACATTTTTAAAAAGAAAACAATTAACGTTTTTGTCTTTTAAGTATTGCAGACCACCACCAGTTTTCCAGAAGAGTTCAAGATTCTTACAAGTTATGTATTTCATCCTTTAATAATTAGGTTTTTTCTTTTCTAATACTATAGTTTCACAGCAAGATTTACTGTGATTATTACAGTAACAAGACAGACTTTCAAAAAAGTAATGTCTTATTTAAGCTCAGAATGATATTTACTCAAATAATTTACTAAGCACTGACAAATAGTTACCACAATCCAAAAATTGGAAATTAAGAGAGTTCTCACTTTGTGAAAATATAATGAATGAGCGTTCCTTTATACCCAGATGCTGACCCCGTCTATGACCCATCACATCTTCAAGTATACACTTGTTTTCTACCACTACTTTAAAGAAAAATTGCTTTGGTACCCTGAAGAGTATAGGTGTACAAGTATCCAATTTGAAAACCTTTCTAGAAAATTTATTGCTGATTAAATAGATGTTTTGCTGACATGGTAACATTTTGTCAAGTCAATTAATTAAGGTATGAAGAAAGAATCATTTGTGGGAATTCCTAGGGCAAAGCAGATGCTCTCTATAAATGCTATTTTTAAGCATGAAATTAATGGCAGTTGTGGAACTTCTGGAGATCATTCCCTCCCCCTTAGGATTCTAACCCCTATTCAGGATTCACGTATCCATAGACATGCTCTATTCTTTTTCCTTGGCTGACGAGTGGTATAGGTCCACACCCGGGATCCGAACCCGTGACCCTAGACCACCGAAGCAGAGTGCACCAAACTTAACCACTATGCCACGGGGCCAGCCGTGACATGCTCTATTCTTTCTCCCTGTGGTCCTGTATCTATCATCCCCTTACAAGACAATCTATATTTTAAAACTCTTTTGTTTTTTATGCCATGGGAACCTGAAGAAAAACTATCTGAGATGCCTACTGACTAAACTAAGCCCAAGGTTACCAAATCAGATAACATCTTTCTGCACAGAACAAGCCCCTCACTAAGCTAGGCAGACAACAAAGAATATGTGCTCACTGAGCTCACCTAACACATGTTATTTAACGTGAATAAAGTCGGCCTCATGATTTATTCATCACTTACTTCCATTTAAAGTACATTTGCAAAAATGTTCCTGTCAGAAATATTACTATGAAAACTCAGATTGTCATTCTGTATCAAGGACATCTCAGAATGGAAAAATGAATGTCTACTCCTCAGGGCTGCTTCCTCCCCACACAAACTGCCTGGAACACAATTCATTCAGAGAGATTCCTAGATGTCCAGAAAACATACATCCTCAGTCATCGCCCATTTTTTAAGGGTCCAATTGGCACTTTAAGCACTAAATCAAAACAAACGTATTAGAATATAAAGATAAAACTACTGGTATTTGCCTGCTTCTGATATTACTATCTGTGATGGTTAATTTTAAGTGTCAACTTGGCTGGGCCATGGTGCCCAGATACCTGGTCAAATATTATTCTGGATGTTTCTGTGAAGGTGTCTTTTGGATGAGATTAACATTTAAATCAGTGGACAGCAAGTAAAGCAGATTGTCCTCTAGAATGTGGATGAACCTTATCCAATCAGTTGAAGGCCATAACAGAACAAAAGCTGACCTCCCCCAAGCAAGAAAGAATTCTGCCAGCTGAAACCCTTTCCTGAATCTTCAGCTTGCTGGTCCAAGCTGGTCTACACTATCAGATTTTTTTTTCTTTTGACTGGCCAAGGTTACACAACCATGTGATCCAACTCCTTAAATCAATCTCTCTCTCTATCAATCTCTCTCTCCACACACAACAATATCCTGTTGACTGTTTCTCTAGAGAACTCTGACTAATAGACTATCCAAAAGAAAACAAGACTTTGCCTAGAAATTTATTTAAAAGACACATGGTTTATTTGAAGTTCAACAATCAATAATATTAACTAAATCAACAATGAGTCTAAGAAAAGCTAGTCAAATTCCAGATGTGGAGACTTCCTACTTCTTCACCAGTTTCATTTAATTTTCCAAAAGACTGATAAGAGACACTGCTTTATCCAAATAAGAGAAAGTAATTTTTTCAAAAAAAAAAGACGTTGAGACTAAAAGTCAAGATGAAATATTAAAATATTGATTAGCATCTTTGCAAATGTACAAAAATAAGCACATAATAGACATACACAAATACGTACAGGTAAACTTTTCCTAGAAAATTCATAAAGAATAAAATAAAGGTATAATTATTGACTATTTATAAAACTTACTATTAACCTTGAATCATTATTTGCACTACTTTTCTCAATTTTTCATAGGTAATAAGAACGGTAACAGGAAGTACTGTGGTATAGTAAGAAATATATTTGGTCTTTGTCCACAGTTCCCAGCACGAAGCTCCTAAAACCCTTGGGATTTCCTGAGTGTCTTTTATCATTCATGAAGAGCCCCTTCAAGCATACCAGAGTTTATGCTAATGAGGTAATTTAGGGTAGAATCTCTAAATAGCCTCAGAACGGGGCTGGTCCCCAGAAAGACTGGAGTGATTAGAGGGCTGGAATTTTCAGCTGCACCCATGGACCTATGAGAAGGTGAAGAGGGGGCTACAGATTAATCTTTATAAACACTCCTGAACAATCTTGTTGCTCAGGAGTTTTTATAGCTTCCAGGTTGGTGAATGTATCCACTTGCCAGGAGGGTACTGCGCCCCACTTCCATGAGGACAGAAGCTCCTGGGCTCAGGACTCTTCCAGTCCTTGCCCTGTGCACCTTTTCATGTGGCTATTTATCTGTATCCTCTATAATATCCTTTATAAAAACTGGTAAACATAAGTAAATGTTTCTCTGAGTTCTGTGAGCCACTCAACGAATTAATTGAATCTGAGGAGGAGGCTGTGGGAACCTCCAGTTTACAGCCAGTCAGTCAGAAGCACAGGTAATAACCTGGACTTGCTATTGGCGTCCAAAGTAGGGGCAGTCTTGTAGGACTGAACCCTTAACTTGTGGGGTCTAATGCTATCTCCAGATAGTGTCAAAACTGATTTAAATTTGTAGGACGCCCAGTCAGTGTCTGCTGAAAACTGGAAAATTCCTTAATGGTGTTGGAAAAAACACACACCAGAAGCACTATAATCTCAAGAAGCAGTGACCTAACAAATTTCTTTGCATAAAGAATCACCTGATCTTCAAAATGGTAATTATTGGGGTTTATAAAGACTCCCATATATGATATTAGCACCACAAGAGTGCTTATGGCAAAACAACCTTGGTTGGAATTCTCTCTTTATTTTTGTATATGAAAGGAAAGGAGAATGTGGGGGAGAAGGACTTACAAGTGCTAGGTGGAGACAGAAGCATACAGATTTAACAGAGAGCCTAACAAATTTCAGTTCATCATCTGCAGCTGTCTTTATAAACCCATCACTTTATAAGTCCACCATATCTATCTACAATAGTGGGTCTCAAAGTGTGGTCCCCAGTCCAACAACATGAATATCACCTGGAAATCCGTTAGAAATGCACATTCTTGGTCCCTACCTCAGACTTACTGAATCATTCTCTGTGGAAGGAAACCAGGAATCTATGTTTTAACAAGCCTTTCAAATGATACTAAGGTTTGAGAACTAGTAATCTCCAGTCAAATACCTTTAACAATGAGACAGAACTAAATCAGGAAATTCCAGAAACTGAGTGGCAGAATTCTACTACATCACAATGAATCATGTGGAGGAAATTTTACTAATATTATCCCTCCTTTTTTATATGGCATTTATTCAAAAATGCTTTCCCAATACTATAACTGATATTAAGAATTTTCCAATGATTTAAAATTTTCAGTCCAGTCATAAGGCTTCTTTATGCCCACCAAGATAGAACAATAGCAACAGTTTTTAGGAAGGATGACGATACATTCCCAGGCAAAACTTACAGGCTGAGTACACCATATTATAAATTGCTAAACTCTGAATTAAGTTTTTTAGTTCTTCCATGAAATGGGATATAAAGTTATCAGTAAAAACTAAACAGGCCAAAATGTATATAATACTTCTAAAGAGTTTTCACTTCCCTCTATGAAAATTTGCCAGAGGGGACAAAATCCTGCCAAAGAGGCAATTCCTCTGCCAATTTAATTCAAGTTATTAGCATGCCTTTGTAGATGGAAGATAAATACCTTTAAATTGCTTGATCATGCTCTGATGGTTTTCGATGGCTTCCTTTAAGATCATTTCAGGCTGGTCCATTTTCCACCGCCATTCAGTGCCCACTGGATTGGTGTGGTGCCTAGGAAAAGGAGGCAAAAGTTCTAAAGGACTCCCTGTAATAAGATCTCAGCTAGTCATCTACCACAAGGTAGTACATAAAAATAACAAAATCAGAGTTGGTTTCCTTCTAAGAGCTCAGCTATTTATAGTTGTATTTTCCAACTTATTTTAAGTCATGACACCTGGCAGAGAGCGGTGGCTAGAGAAGTACCTTCTGGCTGAGACTGAGGTTTTAATCAGAACAATACAAAATGTGCACCCCTCCCCGTCAGCCACCCACCACCAAGCTAACAAGCATCTAGTAACAACAAACAGTAGAATATTGCTGCCAGAGTTGCAAGATCATAGTGATAAACTCCCTGAGAGGCAGTGCAATGAGAAGACCTAAAGCTTATGATGGATCAGACTTGAGAAAAAAACCTGTAGCAAACCAGCCCCCATGCTATACCCAAGGTATCCCTAAAAGATACCAACAACAAAGGCCTAGCAGAAACAAAAGGTGTGCCGATTTCCAAATACAAAAAACATTCACCTCAGTCTCTAATGTACTAAACGAGATGTCCACCTTTAAACAAAAAAATTATGAGACATACAAAAAAGCAAGAGAACCATTTCCAATAGACAAAGCAATCAACAAAACCAAACTCTTGACACAAGTGTTGAAACTATTTGAAAGGGAATTTTCAAAAACTATGATTACTACATTAAAAGCCCTAATAGAAAACGTGGACAACACACAAGACGAAATGGGTAATTCAGCAGAGAGATGGAAATTATAATACACAATCAAATAGAAATGCTAAATATGAAAAAACAGGCCTTCAACAGGCTCAACAGTAGACTACAAACAGCTGAGGAAAGAGTTAAAAAACTTGGAGAGGCCAATGCAAATAAGCCAACTAAAATACAAAGACAAAAAAAATTTTTTTAAGTGAAAAGAAGGACATAGCATCCAAGAGCTATGGGACAACATCAAAAAGTCCAAAATACACACAACTGGGATACCAGAAAGGAAGGAGAGAGAACAAAGCAAAAGAAATTGTAGAAAAATTATGGCCAATAATTTTCCAAAGTTAATGAGAAACAACCACAGATCCAAGAAGCTCATAGAACAACAACTAGGATGTTTTAAAAAGAAAAAACAGCCTAAAAATATCATATTCAAACTGATAAAAACAAAAGAAAGTGAAAAAATTTTTAAGTTAGAGAAAAAAGACACATTACAGAAGAAAAAAGATAAAAATTACATCTGACATCTTATTAGAAAACAATTAAGCCAGATGAAACTATAATGATACCTGAGAAGAATGCTTAAAGGAAACAAACAGACAAACTTGTCAATCCAGTGAAAATATCTTTTAAAAACAGAGAAACAAAGAACTGTGCAGACAAAATCTGAGAGATTTTCTTGCCAGCAAACCTATATTACAAGATATGATAAAGGGAATTGTTCAGGCAAAAGAAACGTGATACCAGATAAAAACTTGGATGTCTTCCTCAAGAGTTGTGATGTGTCATTTTATTTCAATGCTGCCATGTTCCAGCAATCCCCTTCACTGATATAGTACCTTTGGACCACTATTATAGACAGGATTTCTCAACCTCAGCACAATGATATTTTGGACTAGATAATTCTTTGTTGTGGAGGGCTGTCCTGTGCATTATAGGATGTCTAAGAGCATCCCTGGCCTCTACCCAGTAGATGCCAGTAGCACCTCCCTCAGTTCTAATAATCAAAAATGTCTCAAGACATTGTTAAATGTCCCAAGTTTCCCCACAGGGTGAAAAATAGCAATTTTGCCCTAGTTGAGAACGCTCTGATTTAACAGGATGTCCCAAGAGATACTTTTCAGTCTTTTCACTATATCCTTGGATAACTAGAAAAGGGAATACATGTCAAAGAACTTAATATGAGATGATGGTATTATGGCTATACTATTTTTTAAAAGGTCTTATTTTTTATATTATCTGTCAATTGAAGTATGTACAGATACAACAGTATGATGGCTGGGATTTGCATCAAAATAGTGAGGACTAGGATAGGTAAATGGAACATGATTGGCCATATGTTAACAAGGGTACACAGAGGTTCATTATACTATTCATTCTACTTATGTTCAAAAAACTCCATAATACAAGTGAAAGAGAAAAAAGAAACCTAACACAGATCTCACCAGACAAGTAAACAACCTGCTGATGACTGCATCAAAAGATTACAGTTCAGGGAAACAACATATGGCTGAATGCCTAGGGGGAAAAGCTGGGAGACAGATTCTTGGTGAATCAGAGCACTGAAAAGCATTTACATATACTGAGAATTTACAGAGTCTCAAACGTGCCCAGAACAGGATGCATGCTAAGAAAAGACCTGAGAAGACCCTAAACTTCCACCTACATCTAATTTTTAGGCTCAGCACAAGCAGGAAGTGAAGGCAAAGGCAGAGTTGTAAATGGTCTGGCTAAGCTAGGAAGAAATGCCCCAACACAGAGTCAATCTGCAAAGACTGGGAGAGTGGTTGTTTTTTTTTTTCCTCTTTTTTTTCCTTGCCTCCACGTGCTCAAGGAAATATCTGTCAACACATTTGCTGACCACTAAACCACAGATTTCACAGACTACACAACAAAGAATAGAATCTATACAAAAACAGTTTAGAAAACTCCCTAAGCAAACAAATACATAAAACCCAGAGCAAGAAACAAACAAACCCTGAAGAATGGGAAGAATCTGATTTTGAGAGTTAACACATTATAATATTCAAAATGTGCAGTTTCCGGGCCGGCCCCGTGGCTTAGCAGTTAAGTGTGCGTGCTCCACTGCTGGCAGTCCGGGTTCGGATGCCGGGCGCGCACCGACACACCGCTTCTTTGGCCATGCTGAGGCCGTGTCCCACATACAGCAACTAGAAGGATGTGCAACTATGACGTACAGCTATCTACTGGGGCTTTGGGGGAATAAATAAATAAATAAAATTAAAAAAAAAAAAAGAAAAGGCAACCTACAGGATGGAAGAAAACATTTCCAAGCCATCTATCTAATAAGAGGTTACATATAAGGAACTCATACAACTCAATTGCAAAAACCAAACAATCTGATTAAAAAAAATAAAATAAAATAAAATAAATAAAAAAAAACAAAATGTGCACTTTCCAATAAAACATTACAAAGCATACAAAGAAACAAGAAAAGTATAGCATATTCACAGGAGAAATTAACAAAAACTGTCCCCAAGGAAGCACAAAATAGACTTACTAGAAAAAGACTTGAAGTCAACTTCTTAAATATGCTCAAAGAGCTAAAGGAAACCATTGACAAAGGGCTGAAGGAAACCAGGAGCACAATGTCTCAACAAATACAGAATATCAATTAAGAGATACAAATGACACAAATGGAACCAAAAAGAAGTTCTAGAACTGAAAAGTATAATAAAATGAAAAATTCAGTAGAGGGTTTCAACAGCAGATTTGAGCAAGCTTTGAGTAGACAGAATCAGTAAACTTGAAGATACATCAAATATCCAGTCTGAAGAACAAGAAAAAAAATTGCAAAGAAAAGTAGACAGAGCCTCAGAGACCTGTGAGACACCATTAAGAATACTAACTCAGGTACAATGAGTCCCAGAAGGAAAGGAAAAGGAGAAAGGGGCAGAAAGAATATTTGAAAAAATAATGGTTGAAAACTTCCCAAATTTGATAAAAGATGTGAATTTACACATCCAAGAAGTTCAATGAACTCCAAGTAGGATAAACTTAAAGAGATCCACACCAAGATACATTACAATCAAACTGTTCAAAGACAAAGAAAAAATCTTGAAAGAAGCGAGAGAAGATACTCATCGTATAAAAGGAATCCTCAATAAGATTAACAGCCAGTTTCTCAGCAGAAACCATGGAGGTTAGAGGCAATGGGATGACATATTTAAAATGCTAAAAGGAAAAACACATCAACCAAGAATTCTATATCCAGCAAAACTATTCTTCAAAACTGAAGGAGATATTAAGACATTCCCAGATAAACAAAGACTGAAGAAGTTCATCACTAGTAGACCTACCCTATAAGAAATGCTAAAGGCCATCCTTCAGGCAGAAATGAAAGGACACTAGACAGACTCAAACCACACAAAGAGATAAAGAACAACATAAAGGTAATTATATACGTTATATACGTAAATACAAAAGTCGGTATTATTGTATTTTTAGATTCTAACTCTTCTTTTTTTCCCTAGTGATTTAAAAGACAAACGTATAAAACAACACTCATAAATCTATGTTAATGGGCACACATGTATAAAGTTGTAATTTGTGACAAGAACAACATAAAGGGGGAAGAATGGAGCTTTGTATGAGCAAAGTTTTTGAATACTATTCAACCAAATGTGGTATTAGTTCAAAATGAAGTCAGTCCTCATTATTTGCTGATTCCATATTTGCAAAATTACCTGCTTGCTAAATTTATTTGTAATCCCAAAATCAATACTTGAGGTATATTTGGGGTTATTAATGGCCAGGCACAGAGCAGCAAAAGATTTGAGTTGCCTGGTACATACCTTCCCAGCTGAGGTCAAACAAGGCAATGCTTTCTCTGCCTTTTCTTTAAGCTCACATACTGTAAACAAGTATTCTTTTGGCAGTCAATTTAATTCCCATTTTTTGCATTTTTGTGCTTTTTGTTGGTGATGTTGCTGTTTGAAACAGCTCCCAAGCACAGTGCTAAAGTGCTCTGTAGTTTTCCTAAGTACAAGAAGGCTGTGATGTGCCTTATGGGGAAAATAAGTGTGTTATATAAGATTGGTTCAGGCATGAGTTACAGTGTTGTTGGCCATAAGTTCAATGTTAACGAATCAACAACATATATTAAATAAGGTATCTTTAAACAGAAACATACATAAAATTAGTTATGTATTGATAAGATGATGAAAAGTTGTGACAAGAGGATTGTAGAAACCTAATCCTTTTATTCCCCTTAAGAGTGATAGTTCAGTATTCACTCATGTAGCATTCATGTAACTTTACAGAACATAA